TAACACTATGATTTTCTTGCATATAAACTAATTGAACTAAGATTATTCCAACTTTCATAATTTATCAACAAGATAAAACTTTAATAGACATTATCCCCAAAAACTTTATAAATATGTTTCGTACTTGCGAGTTAGTTATTATTAAAAATATAACCTACATAAATATCATAGTATCATTGTGTAAAATCTAAATTATCTTCTATCCCTATTATTTCTGTAATTACATAAATCCCATATTTTTTAGGTATTTCGGATACATAATTAAGGATCTGGATACATTATTGTTGATACATTATGTATCAATCTGTTGCACTTATTAAAGGAAAAAAAAAAGATGAAAAATCAAATTAAGATCTCATAGTATCCATCTGTTGCACTAATTAAGGGAAAAAAAATTGAAAATCAAATTAAAATCCCATAAATTACGCTATTTCATTCCAAATTATTGTCAAGAATTCAAAATCCTATAGTGTAACAAACCAAAAAATTCAAAAAATAAAGTTTTTCTTCTTGTTCATCATTTCTCTCTGTTTCATAAAAAAATTTGTCAAAATTTTGGATAAGCGAGGCGAGTTATGAAGGATACAAAAGTGATGGAATTGTTGTTGGACAAACGATTTCTTTTGTGAATCTTCAAGCTTATCGAATATCCTTTCGATTTTGATTCAAGATTGTCGAAAATTTTGAGATTCAAAATTCTTCTCCAATTCATTGAAGATCCTTTCAGTTTTGATTCAAAATTGTTGAAAATTTTGAGTTTCAAAATTATTCTCCTAGTTCATTGAAGATTCTTTCAATTTTGATTCAAAATTATCGAAAATTTTGAGAAGATACATCATGAAGATCCTTTCAATTTAAATTGATAAGTGTTGTATTTTACTAGATACATTAAATAAGAAAGTGTTGCCCATAAGATTTTAGGTTTGAGATCGATACATTATTATTTGGTAATTGTTATGTAATCATATACATTTAGTGTAAATTCGAATTTACGTATCATAACTAAAAAATTAGTGCATGATACATTATTATTTATGTATCTTATTTTGTTTGAGATCATGAATATCCTTTCAATTTAAATTGATAAGTGTGGTATTTTTACTAGATACATTAAATAAGAAAGTGTTGTCCATAAGATTTTAAGTTTGAGATCGATACATTATTGTTTGGTAATTGTTATGTATCAGATACATTTAGTATAAATTTGAATTTACGTATCATAACTAAAAAACTAGTGTATGATACATTATTATTTATGTATCTTATTTTGTTTGAGAAATGTTATATTTTAAAATTAAAAAAAATACATTATACATGTAAAAAATACATTATACCTTAAATATGAACATTATACATTGCATAAAACAAAGGTTATTGTAGCAGTGATGTAGCAGATTTATGACAACACTAACAAAGACTAATTTAAGACTCAAAATAAACAAGATACATTAAAAATATGTATCTTTGATAGTGATGGGCCGTGCAATGGCAGATCCAACTTTTTTCTCCTTTTTTTTATGGACGTTTTTCAATAGTAGAGACATTAAAAGAAAATAAATATTTTTCAAGAAAAATTTTCAACGACAATATAATTAACTAAAATTGCAAAGGTTCAATAAGATTTCAATGAGGAAAGGGGGCGGAGGTAATTTTATTTTTATTTTTTAAAATGAAAAAATTAAAAAATACTAATAAAAGAAATCGAAAATTGAAGTGATGAAAAGAAATATACCTCTTGAATAATTTGAAATCATTAATTGGAAATAGAAAAGATTTGAAATTCAAAAATAGATTAATTGATAAACTTGAGAGAGACACCTTTTGAAAATCAAAATGAATTTGAAATTTGTAACTGCTAAAGAAGTGGAGAGAATTTAGGGATAAAATGGAGTGAAATGGAGAGTGGAAAACGTGGGTGTAGGCTGAAAATAAGTGATATGTATCCGGAAGATTTTATGAATTGGGGGAATTTAGGGATTTTTGAAATTTTAAAAAAAGGTAGGGATAAATGGATATTAAGATAAGTAAATGTGTGTATATAAGTAATTTTCCCTTATTAAAATCTTCAAATTTCCTAATTACCTTAACAAGATAAGACTAGTAATAATTATATGGAAAATTATCTAAATACACAACTTATTTTTATCATATTCTCTAAAATTTCTTACCATTTGAAAAACTTACAAAAATTCTTACTCTCTTCTATTCTTGGATACATCACATACATCACTTTGCACGATGTATCGAGACATACAATGTATCAGGGATATTGAGTGATGTATCCGAAATCAAAATGTAATGTATTGGGACGTTGAGCTATGCATCAACAAAAACCCAGTGTAAAATATATACAAGTTATACATACACTAGTTCCCCACTCCCACCCCACCCCACCAGCCTACACAAGTGATAGAAAATAGAATTGGAGAAATATAAAGACTTGGATCCAGCAAAATTTGAGCTGTATAAAATACATATTTTCTGCTGATATATATAGGAGTTACGGAAGCCATAAGTTATTTTGGCGTATCGAGCTCGAGATTTGAGAATAAAATTATATAAGCGTATTTTATTTTTAAATTAGAATTTTTCGATACAAATTCTAATTAATTGAACTCATAATAATGAATATTGAATGGGAAATCAAAAGTATAAGTTAATGAGTATTTTGATGATTAGAGTTTTGAGAATATAGGTATAGAAGCGTTTTTACCTAAGTGTCCAAAATGAGATTTTCTATTCTGAATCTGAATTAGACAAACTCTAAAATGAATATTAGGAAATAAGAAGAATAAGTAATAAGTTATTTTATCATATCAAATTCAAGATTTAAAAATAGAGTTATCGGGTTTGAGCCCCTACGACTACCTAACATACATCGGAATGGAGAAAAAAAAAGATAAATAAATTATTTATATATACAAGAAATTTAAACATACACCAACATGAATTGTCGTGAGATCACTATAACAAATTTTAAAAATTGTGTGAATTATTAGCGGCAATAATAAATATGAATATTGATAATCTGTACTTTACATAAATGTTGTTACATGATTTAGCAATTCTAGTTACAATGATATTAACTCAATTGCCACTAAATATCTTTACGTCAATAAATATTGTTGCCACTAAATGTCTCTTTTGTTGTAGTGGATGGCTGAGATCCCTCTACCCTTAATCAGACGTCTCAAATTCGAGTCCCTGAAAATGTAAAGAAAAATCATGTTAGGAGCACGCCTCATAAATGAGTCATGTAATGTAGAAATATGAATTTAGTTGGACCTCAATACAAATATCGGACATACATACCCTCCCCCCTCCCCTCTCCCTCTTGTTTCTCTCTCTTCAACAATATCATTAACACCATCACCTCTTTCTCTCCCGCCATTAAATGCTATTTTCATCCTCTATATGCACTCTACATTAACTCCTCTTTATTTCACACATTTCTTCTTATCTCTCTATTATCTTCCCTTTTTTTTCTCTCTCCCATATTCTCATCTCCCTTTCTTTGTTCTTCCTTTTTCCCTCAAGAAAAATTCTTCTTAAAATTCTATTCACACATAAAAAAGAAAACCAAAAAGTGGTTTTCTAGTTTACTACCTACTTATTTTTTTCCTTTTGGTTGAAAAGTTAGATCTAAACCCTAAAAACTTCAAGAGGGTTTTGTGTTCTTATAATACTTTTACTTGCAAGGCTTCAAAGATTGTGAGTTACTATATACTTTCATGTTTTCTTCTTCTTCTTCTTCTTCTTCTTTTTTTTGAGAAATTTCTAAGTTTTATTTAGTTCAAAAAATTGCTCTAGATATGCTTTGTCCATACTTTTTTTTTCACCAAAATAAATAAAGAAATACAAAACATCATATATGTTCATAACTTGGACTCTTTTTTCTTTTCTTTTTTTGAAAGATGAATTTTAAAAAAAATGCATATCAAAATACAACTTGATTTGCAACTTTCAAATACACTTATCAATTTATATGAATATATTTTTTTTATGTACAAACACTTATTTATCTTGACTGCTAATTTATTTTTATGTAGAATGAAAATTATGGCTGAAGTTGGAGTACTCTATAGAAATATTCGTGGATGTTATTTGAAGATAATAACATAAGTAAGGGGGTGGGAAAGACATTTTTTGGACTTTGGGTCGTCAAAGTGTCAACTCTCTTTATTATTTTTTTCCTAAAAATTTCTCAAATTTAGTCCTTTTTTTGGGGATATCAAAACAGACATGAGAGAGAGAGTGGAAAAAAAGTCTTTTTGTTTGACATCTCAAAAACCAAAAGTCAAATTTTCCCATTTGTTTTTTTTAAAAAAAATAAATACAACAACTAACAAAATACAAAAAGGAGAAGTCTTTCTAGGGTTTTCATGAAGGACTTCACTAACTCTCCATATTCTTTATCATATCTAGTATTCCGAGTTTATTTCGATTTAATATAATTTTTACTAGCATTATTCCTTTCTTTTTTTCTCCGTATCTACTTTTGAAATCAGATCCAGAATTTAAACGTTATAAGTTCTTATATGCTAACAAGTTACACGGATCATAAAAATCGCGTAATTAAAAAAAAAAAAAAAAAGAACTTGATCTTCATTTCCTTAAGTTTTGTTTAATTTATCCACCTTTATAGTTACTAAAATGTTACAATTTTTTGTTTTGTTTTTGCAGGTAACAAATTCATAGCTTAGCAAGAAGGATATTATTATAAGTGAAAAATGTTTCAGCCAAACATGTTTGATAAGAGCCACTATCATCTATTCGACGACATATCTGACGTTGTGAATTCTGATATTCTACTTTAAGTTAGACATATCATAAAACTCGAAAAAGAACACAAGTAGGTTTTGCCAATCTTCATTTATCCTAAGTTTTTTTTTTAATTTATCCACATTTATATAAAGTATTTAACTAATTAATGTACTTACAATTTTATTTTTATTTCTATTACAGGTTACAAACTCATAGCTTATCAAGAAAGGATATATTTTTTTTTAATATTTAGAAGTGAAAAATGTTTCAGCCAAATATGTTTGAGAGCCACCATCATTTACTTGATATGTCACATAAATCACCAGAAAATGATTTGGATTTACTTAGAGATAATGATGAATTTGAGAGCAAATCAATGGCAGATATTATGGAAAATAATCCTTCTGGTGATGATCAAGAAGCTGATCCTAATCAACGTCCAAATAAAAAGAAACGTTATCATCGTCATACACAACTACAAATTCAAGAAATGGAATCGTAAGTACTCTTTTATATATATAACTTATATACATAGTCAGTATAAAACAAAAGAATTTTAGAGCCGTTTGGACATAGAAAGTTTTTTTTTTTTTTCAAATTTAAGCTAAATATATGTCCAAACGCCTACTAATTTTTTCTACTAGTAGATTGTTGTGGTATTTTTAAAAATAATTGACAAATTGATTATGTTAAAATTCTTTTATACTATCAGACAATATAAAATATATGAGAGACTACACGTTAACTAGTTTGGTTGAATATTTTACAAAAATTCACAAGATATATTTTTCTAATTTTTTTCAGGTTTTTTAAAGAGTGTCCTCATCCAGATGATAAACAGAGAAAAGAATTAGGAAAAAGATTAGGGTTAGAGCCTTTGCAAGTGAAATTTTGGTTCCAGAACAAACGTACTCAAATGAAGGTAAGGCCATTTCTCTTTTCAGTCGATTTTTCAAGTTAATTCTTTGAATGGTTACTTAAGTATATAGTATTGTCTTATTTTTCAGATTACTAATCTCATTTTATTAGCAGATTTGATATTGTCTTGTTGCTTTCTTTAATAATATTTTGGATTTATCATAGATTTATATTTCAGTAAAAAAAAAAAAGATTAACATTTATACTGTTGTTTTTATATATTTAACTTATTATCTATTTTATTTTTATTTGATACAAAGATTACATCTATCGAACTTAAATGGAGAAAATAAATGATGAAAAATTATATTTATAGTTCACCTCAACTTGTTTACTATATATTGAGGTGTAGTGTTATTGAATTGAAGTGTGGAAGCAGTAATTAATACTTGTATTAGTATTCCTTAGGATGCGATTTTAAAAAAAATCCTACATGAATATGAAATTTTATGCACTCAAGACTTTTTTTTTTCTAAAAAAGAAGATAAAGTAGTTAATTAGTGAGTGGATATATAATAATTACATTAGGGTAAACTATATTTGTATCACACCCCTTGAAATGCAACCCTTCTCCAGATTCTACATGAACGTACGATACTTTGTACGTCAGATTTTTTTATTATTATTTTATTTATTTAGTGGTCTAATTAATTCGTATTTAATTATCATTTGTAGGCGCAACATGAACGCCATGAGAACTCAGAATTGAGAGCTGAAAATGAGAAGCTTCGTGCTGATAATATAAGGTATAAAGAAGCACTTGGCAATGCTACCTGCCCTAATTGTGGCGGGCCTGCTTCCATTGGGGAAATGTCATTCGATGAGCAACATTTGAGGATTGAGAACGCTCGTCTTAGAGAAGAGGTACCACAATATCACTATTCAAAAAATACGATAAATAAATTTTGTAGTTAAATAATAATATTTGTAGAACAACATAGTTATTATCGTGCCACCTATAAATAATGAGTTTGAGTTGTGGAATTAAACACTAATGTTTGCATCAGAGGCAAAACTAGAATTTGAATTTTATGTCTTCTAAATACAAGGATAGTCACATCAAATGTTCGTAACTATATTCTAAATTTTAATTTTTCTACAAATTTTGGGATCTTTTTTCAAATAAATTAATAAATATAATTATAGAATTTGAACCTATAGTTTCTGGTTTCACCCCTAATGCTTTCTATATTACTCCCCCTCAATTGTGGCCTTTCCTCAACTCTTTCATATACACGAGGTTTTTCGTGTATCAAGCTGTCCTTTTTATACGTTACTTATTTTATGTTTTTATTTTCTTTCAGATTGATAGAATATCAGGAATTGCTGCAAAATATGTTGGGAAGCCCATGCTTACATATCCTAATCTTCCTATTGGCCCGACCCGTTCACTCGATATCGGTGTGGGTAGTTTTGGGCCTCAAACGGGCCTTGTTGGAGAAATGTACAGTGCTGGTGACCTTCTAAGGTCAGTTTCAGGCCCAATAGATGCTGATAAGCCCATGATCATTGAGCTTGCTGTTGCAGCTATGGAAGAATTTGTCAGAATGGCCCAAACTGGAGAGCCCTTATGGATTACAGGCCCAGATAATTATATGGAGACGCTATGTGAAGAGGAATATGTTCGGACTTTTCCTCGAGGCATTGGGCCTAAGTCTTTGGGCCTAACAACTGAAGCCTCACGAGAATCTGCTGTTGTTATTATGAATCACATCAATTTAGTTGAAATCCTAATGGACGTGGTACGACTCTTCTTTTTTTCTTTTTTTGTTGTTGGAACTTTTTCGTGTTTTAGTTAAGTGTAATTTTATCAGGAGTTTATTTCCGCCTTAAAAAAGACCATTTTAACCTTGTCTTTTTTATAATAAATTTATTTTTGATCTTCAATAATGTCATTATTAGTACTAATTATTACTATGTTTTATTATATAATGTGGTATTGAATTCAGAACCAATGGACAAATGTTTTTGCTGGACTAGTATCAAGAGCATTGACATTAGATGTCTTATCAACTGGAGTAGCTGGAAACTACAATGGAGCTTTACAAGTGGTATGATTTAAAATTCTACTTTTTTTCCTCGAGTTTAACTTCTATATCGTGACAGTATAAACGAATCATAAAAAGTGAAATTGATAGCCTGAAAAATAAGACATGTTACCTGCTACAACAAATGTAACGTGTATGATTTCTAGACGATATATTCTAATTGGAGTGTACTTTTGTTACATTTTTATTTTTAGATGACAGCTGAGTTCCAGGTCCCTTCACCATTGGTTCCAACGCGCGAAAATTATTTTGTGAGATATTGTAAGCACCATGCTGATGGAACATGGGCTGTTGTTGATGTCTCCTTGGACAATTTACGACCTTCTTCAGTGTCACGCGGTAGAAGAAGGCCATCGGGTTGTTTAATTCAAGAATTACCTAATGGTTACTCCAAGGTAAAACCACTCTGAATATCTAAAAATGCTTATAGAGACGGATCCAATATTAGAAGTTGCATATGTACATATACTTGTATAGATAGAGTTACATATATTCAACTTAGAACCAATGTTATAATTCTGAATCTGTCTGCAATCATAGTAAGTGTTAGAGTTTCGTTGAGTAACCATTTTATCCCTCTAGGTTACATGGATTGAGCACGTTGAAGTGGATGATAGAGGTGTTCATAACATCTATAGACCTCTTGTCAATTCAGGCCTCGCGTTTGGGGCTAAACGTTGGGTAGCAACGTTGGATAGACAATGTGAACGACTAGCAAGTGCAATGGCTAATAACATCCCAACAGGGGATATTGGAGGTATATATAATATATATATAGTATGTAAATTGAGATATAATTAATCTCATCGCGATCACAATTTGCTAACAATGTAACTTATTTTTGTAGTCATAACGAGTCCTGAAGGCCGAAAAAGCATGTTAAAACTTGCTGAGAGGCTGGTGATGAGTTTTTGCGCTGGTGTTGGCGCCTCAACGGCTCATACATGGACTACATTATCTGGAAGTGGTGCTGATGATGTTAGAGTTATGACTAGAAAAAGTATTGATGATCCAGGGAGACCTCCTGGTATTGTCCTCAGTGCAGCCACTTCATTTTGGCTTCCTGTTCCTCCCAAGAGAGTCTTTGATTTTCTCCGCGATGAGAACTCTAGAAGTGAGGTAAAATCATAAGGTCCATCGCGCTAAAATATACATTCATTTGACTTTGATGGTGATCAATGGTTTGATTCAGTCAGTTATTTCAAGATAGTTATACTTTTATAACAATAAAATTGTTATTTTGTGTTGTCGATTGATTGACCATACATAGAGTATTCGTGTGCAGTGGGATATACTTTCGAATGGGGGGCTAGTTCAAGAAATGGCACATATAGCAAATGGTCGTGATCCAGGAAACTGTGTATCTCTGCTTCGTGTTAATGTAATTAACGTCTTCTTCTTACTTATATTGACACTACCAAAAATACCTTGACTTCACGTGTTTTTAGTAGTGACCTAAAAGATTGTAAGTTTATTGATGCAGAGTGGAAATTCGAGCCAGAGCAACATGCTAATACTCCAAGAGAGTTCAACAGACTCAACAGGATCTTATGTTATTTACGCTCCAGTTGATATTGTTGCAATGAATGTTGTGTTGAGTGGTGGTGATCCCGACTATGTTGCTCTACTACCATCTGGATTCGCTATACTTCCAGATGGTGGCGGAGGAATTGATGTTGGTACTCGTGGATCGCTTCTCACTGTTGCATTTCAGATTTTGGTTGATTCTGTCCCAACTGCAAAACTCTCTCTTGGATCTGTTGCAACTGTCAATAGTCTTATCAAATGCACTGTTGAAAGGATCAAAACAGCTGTAGCTTGTGACAATGCTTGATGAAATATCTAAGGTACGCTATTTTAACTTATATACGCTGACAATATAAAAGGGGAGTCTCAGAGTGACAGTAGCGTTGTCTCGTGTGACCTATAGGTTGTGGAAGCAACCTCTAGGGTAGCCTGCCTAAATTACACCCCTTAGAGTCCAGTCCTTCCTTGGACCCCACTAACACAACATGTTTGTGCATCGGTCTGTCATTTTTCAATATAATACTACTCCTTTTTATGTTATTATAGGTTACTTGTTATATTTTTCGGTATATTACTAACTAGGCAACTAGTACTAGTTGACTTTTGTGTGATCTGATAGTGTAAAAGTTATATATACACCATCATTGTATAGAAGATGAGTAACTTGTTTAATGTATATACACCGATAGTTTTTATGAAGTAGAATATTGAAGTAACAGTAAAGTTGTATGTGTGACCTATGTATGTCACGAGTTTAACTTGTGGAAGTAGTCAACTAATACTTGTATTAAGGTAGGTTGTCTACATAACACTGACGATAATATAAATATATTATATTGCAGGTTGATTTGAAGGATGGAGGAGGAGTCAAGAACGAACCTCAAAAGTAATCCTTTGTTAGCAAATATGGGATTTGTTTGGGTGAAAAAAGGAAGCAAAAAATTGGAAATTTTGCTAGCATGCAAATGTAATAGGTTCGGGTATTGACTTCACAAGTTGATGTAACTTTTGAATATGTTAACCAAACAAGTCCTTATTTTACTTGATCATGATCAAGCTTAAGAAAAATTCAATTTGAAGCTAATTATGTTATTAGCAAAAAAAATTCACTTTTTACTATGTGGTATGAAGTTTTTCACTTTTTACTATGTGGTATGGAGTACATTTTTAAATTGTTTTCTTGTTAAAACCAATTTTAAACGAACTACCTTTTTTGCCAACGATAACAATTATTATGCCTCAATTTCAAACTGAAAGAACATCTAAGTGAGTGAATAAGAAATTTGGAGAAAATTAAAAATAAAAAGATGAAATTACTAGGGATAAAAGAATATTCGCGCTAGTTTTTCATTTTGTTTTTGTTCAATGAGAAATTTGAGTCAAGCTTAGTAAAAGTTATAAGAAGAAAATTAGTTACAGAGGTGTGCATTGGTCGATTCGATTCGATTTTATATATTATCAGTTCAATTTATCGATTTTTAATTTTTAAATAAGCTAAACCAATAACAACTTTATCGGTTTTCGATTTATCAATTATTACTCATTAATGGTTCGATTTCGGTTTACCCAATAAAACAATGCTAATAAAATAAATATATGATTTATCACTTCTCTAACAATTTGACACGATACAGTGAGACAAGCAAATCAGTTGTAAATGCTTTGATTAGTGAAACAAGAAATATAATGAGAAATTGCATCAATAAGAGTAGATGTAGTATGAAGGCTACAATAACATGTTACAACCAAAACATAATATGAAATTTCTGACGTGAAGTAGAAGTACTATGATGTGTGAAGTGTGTAGACCACAGTGTAGAGTACCGATATAGTGTCTAGTTATGTTAAATTATTAATATTTATGAAGGGTATAGTAGTAACTTACTATCGTCTTAATGAGTTATCGGTTTACCCAATAACTCAATATTAAAGGCCGGATCTGGCTCCTCTCCATTTCTCTTTTCTCCATTTTCCCCAAGTTCCTACTTAGATGTATGACACCTATGTTACTTAAATATTAAAGGTCTGGATTAATTATTTTTCTTAATCAAAGAAATATACTAATTAACCATGATTAAAAAAGATATTTAAAATTCCCAACTTTAGTAAGAAAATATTCATTTTCCAATTATTTTTGAGAAAAAATAGATTTACTTCAATTAAATAGCATTAATCTTTTGATATAAAAAGAGTTCTTCTATAGTTTAAATCACCATAAAAAATATATACATTTTTAAAAAAAATTATATCTATTTTTTGGAAAAGTTTGTCTAACTTTTAGTTTTATTTGATATTTTATGGCAAGTAATTTTCAATACTTTTTATTTAATATCTAATGCTAAAAATTCTATTTTATGATTTACAATATTTTTCATCGTAAAATAACTTATTTAAATGTTTAGTTTAAATTGATAGAAATTTAGTCTATGAAGAAACATTTTTTTTTTGGTGAATAGGAAAACTATTGATAACGAAAAATGATTTGAACTATGGTGCAAAAAAATCGTGAGATGGTTTTTTTTATAGCAATAATTAGATAGATTTAAATGGTAATACATATCCTTTTAATCATATGATTAAGGTATTTGATTACTTAAAAATATGCACCATTGATATTTAAATAATACAAGTGTCATACATCTAAGTAGGAGCTTGGAGAAAATGGAGAGAAGAGAAATGGAGAAGAGCCGGATCCTTAAAAATCGATACCAAATCGATAACCCAATAATTATTTTATAAAACCATTAATAACTCGTTAACCCAATAACCCAATAGCAATGAGCCAATAATATTTTTTTCGGTTCGATTTATTGGTCGATTCAGATTTTGCACACCCCTAGCTAAAATATCAATCATAGAGTACACCATCAACTACAAAATTCGCTTCTCTATAAATATGTACGATAGAACTCACCCAATTTTATCCGTTAACAGTATCACCATTTCGATAAGGCACAATATTTCAAGTCCCCAACACACGAACTATTCTTACTCTATAATAAATGTTACTTATGAATTACTCCATCTGTCCCTAATTACTTGTTCACTTTTGAATTGACACACCTATCAATGAGTGACATAATGAGTTTCATTTTACCCCTATTAATTATGAAGGTGATGAATTAAAAACTTAAGATTTTCAAGAAGTTCTAGATTTTTCAAAATAATTAATTGAGGGTATACTAGATTAAAAAAAATTGTCATTTCTTGATTTTTCAAAATGAATAAGTAATTAGAAAAAAAAAATAGACAAGTAATTAGGAATTAATATCAAAAGAAAATCTATGAATATGTTTGACACACTAAATTTAATTGGCATCCACCATTCAGTCATAATTTAATGAAAGCTGTGAGTTTACTAGTATCCTTGTGGTTCCCATTTCTGACTCATTGAAATTAGCATTCAATGTAAAAGTACAAAACTTTTATTAACAGTCTATTTTACTAAATTAATTTATTAATAATGCTTTAAAATTTGAAATTTTATATATTTAATCTATTTTTAATATAGGAGCGAAGTAAAATAAAATAAAGCAAGTATTTTATATAATACTCTCTTTGTTTTTGTTCAATGGATACAAAACACTCATGCTTTAGCACCTGGTGCAACGACAACATGCACCAGTTTAACTTGGGGGTGGGGGGGGGGGGGGGTGATTTAGTGGCATTGGATGGCAAGGTGGCTTTGTTGCCTGTATACTTCATTTTTACTTGTCTACTATATTATTTTTAGATGTCCAATGAATAATTACCGTATTGTTTCTATCTTAACCTTACTATTAAATATTATTCATTTTTCAATATTTAGATGACTTTTATTTAATCAGGGTGATTTGATAAAATTACCCTCTCCCCCCCACCATTTATTGTTTTTTAATCCCTGTGTCAAGCTAATTAAAAGATCAATTACACTATCATGTTATTTAAAAGATAACTTCAAGTAATTAGGATCAGAGTGGAACAATATCTACACATTCAATATATCCTTTATCATCGGATTCAACTATAACATTCTTTCATCAAAAAATTATACAATATTTAAGTATTGTAGAGCCTATAATTGCAAAATTTGACAATTTTAAGACTAAGAGATTATTTGAATACTTTGATAGTAGTTGACAAAACACTAAAGCATTCCTTCTAGGATTCTACAATAATTACTTGTCATTTGGTATATTTTGACTTTTGATTTTAGAAAACCTAATTAAATTGCTAATTTGTTACAGACAAACCCTAAACAACACGTAAAAGAAGTGTACATTAGTCAACTAAAATTGGTTAGGCCTTGAAATCCTTAGACAGTTTCACAACTAATTTTATATTATTTGATTAAGTATAAAACTGAGATTAAAAAAAGTCAATTACCATAATTAAGTGATAATATAAACTTTATACATAAAAAGGAAAAAATATATTCACATTGTGTTTACACCAAGTCGATGAAGTCATGAAGGTAAAATATGTATCTGTCATAGACAAATTTTTATAGTTTTGTATTGTTTGTTTTGGTGTAAAAATTCAACTTGCAGGTACGTATTTAAACACATCATAAATATAATTCGTTGAAAATTGGTATTATAAATTCTGACTGCGAATACGTTTTTATGAATAGTTTGTCTTGTGATGTCCAAGCACTACATTAACTCCAAACCTAACAAGAATTTAATTAAAGAGGATACTTATATACAAAGGCAATATCCAGAACTTTGATTTTATCGATTTTTAATTTTTGAATGATGATTTCAAGTGTTAAAATCGGCTTTTAGATTTAATACTGATATATATTTAATAATTTTATATGACATTTTTTTATATATTCTTAACTGTGTAAATTTCATATATGACATATATTATAGTACTATTTTCAAGCTATAACAACAGATTTAGACTTTCAAGCTATAACATTAAAAATTTCAGGTTATAACAAATTCACATATAAAAAAAATATTTTTATTAATTCGAAAAAAAGTTAAAAAAGAAAAAGAAAAGATAAACGAAAATTTAAAAAAAAACGGAATTAGAGATAATAAAGTAAAAAACTGAAAGTATGGCCTGTAATTTAATTTGAATTTATTATAGATAATTAATGATTAGCATGAAATAAGGGATTTAAACAAATTAACAATATTTTTTATCCTTAATTCACTCAAAATCAGTTAAGATAAACTAAAAAATTAGATCATATCATTTTTTTTGTAGATAATTAATAAATAGCGCGAATTTAGGGATTTAAACTAATTAAGATTATTTAGTATCCTTAATTCACTCAAATCAGTTAAAATCAAATAAAAATTCAGATTTTATCTTCTTCTTTTTCAACGTTTCTCTCTCTTCAATTTGCAACAAAAAAAATTCAACATTTCTCTCTTCAATTTTCAACAAAAAAAAAATTCACATTCGTGTAATTGAAGTTTTTTTCATCTTTGAAAATTCTTGATTTTGTTGTGATGGACAACTACGTATCAGTTTTAATCAAACATGGTAAAAGATGGGATCCTTCAGGTTAGTATTTATTATTGTTTAACGTTTGTTTTAGAATAATAGCGAAATGAAACAAAAATATCAAACTGTCGATTAATTGAAGGTGGAGTCATATTTTGTTAACTGTTGATATCATATTATGTTTACTGTTGTGAAATGTAAAAAATTTAGTGTTTTTTTTGTTTATTTGTTTATTTTGTATACGGTTGTTGTTTTGTGAAATTATAAATTTAATGTGATTTTATGAATAAATTTGATAGAATAAATTAAATGAAATTTGTATGAAAGTGTGCTAATTATTCTGTAAAAATAATTTAATTATAATGTTGACGAATTTATGAAAATTTATTTTATTTGATAATGAATTTGATAGTATAAGTCGAATGAATTATGTATGAAAAGTGTGTTAAGAAATATGTAAAAAAAAAATTGGAATTCTTGACGAAGTGTATTACAAGTGTTTTAAATTGGTATTAAATGTGAAATTGTTGAGTTTATATTAGTTTTGTTATTTCTGTATAAAGTTGGTGACAATAATTAATTATTTGGGACGAGAAATGTATATAGTTTGAATGAATAATCGTTTTGTATGAAATGTATATTAAATGAGTATGAAAA